GAAGCATCCTATTTTGAACACTTGTCCATACTGTGTTCAACAGAGGAATAAAATGAAAACACAGCCCGTACTTTGATGACAACAGGATGCTGATTTGTCTCACACTTGAGGTTGTCCCCAGTTCCATGTCTCTCTAGTTTGGAGGGAACCCGGGCTTGGGAAAAAGCTGCTGACTGAAAAGAACCCTTACTCCCAGGTCTCTTCTCAGAAAGCACTGGTGTGTGCATCAGTGTGCACGCAGAAGGAGCTCCTGCTCAGCTGTGGTTCCAGCAGCCCTGCTTGGAACCAGGCAAAGGTAGGAGGCCATCCAGAGGGGCCCCTGTCACTAGGGTCTCAAATTATCTGCTCTGGGGTCCACACATTAGAAAACATTGCTCTTGTAACAATAAAGGCAGTATTTTCCAAATTGAAAATGAGGGTATCTGATCTTTCAACAAGATAGAATACTTAAAGGTAAGAGCTGCCCAGTAAACCCAGAATTCATGGTGCCATACCTAGGACATTTATTTATTAGTACACAAATTTAGATTTTTTTTTTTAATCAACGTTAGTGCTAAACACCTGGGATATGAAAATTCATAGACATAATCTCTATCCCCAAGGTAAGTGTGCCAGATAAAATTACGGAATGCACAGTTAAATCTGAATTTCAGATATATACGGATTTTTTTTGTCTATGTCCCAAATATTGCATTAGATATACTAAAAATATAATTGTTGTTCATCTGAAATTCAAATTTCTGGATATCCTATGTTATTATTTGCTAAATCTGGCAACCCAACCTCAAAGGTTTTCAGACTACTGGAGGACAAAGTCAATTAAAATACAGTGACAGTATGAGAAGTATCAGGGCGAAAGAGTGATCACAGGATGCTTGTGTATGTTGAACAAATATCTAGCTCAGGAAAGACATCCGGGAACTGGTAACACCAGAAGTGCGTCTTAAGCTAAGAAAGTATGGGCTATACCATTAACTTCAGAATTCAATAACACACCATCATTATTTATGATTTAACTTTTTGATGAACATGTGTTTTGTCTACAGAACTAAATCCTAAGTTCTTTGACAATAGAAGCCAATTCTTTGTATCCCCGCAACACTTAGCACTGACAGGCACACCTAAGGCATGTAGTAAATTACAGCACAAATTGATTCAAATAGTTTATCTTCCTAAAGAGTAAAAATATTCTGTTCAGTGAAAAAAAAAATTTTTTTTTGAGACAGGGTCTCGCTCTGTCACCCAGGCTAGAGTGCAGTGGGACAATCATAGCTCACTACAGCCTTGAACTCCTGGGCTCAAGCAATCCTCCTGCCTCAGCCTCCAAAGTAGCTGGGACTACAGGTGTGCACCACCACATTCGGCTTATTTTTTAAAATATTTTTTTGCAGAACAGCAGCCCTGGTCAGAGCAAAAACTCCCAACTTCTGGTATCTGGCTATATTGCCCAGGCTGGTCTCAAACTCCTGGGCTCAAGCAACCTTCCTCCCTCCTTGGCCTCCCAAAGTGCAGGGATTTCAAGTGTAAGCCACTGTACCCAGCCAATTTTTTTAAACTAATATTTTCCTTTTTAATTTCCATCTTGGAAAGCTGCAGCCAAGAACCTTGGGAGTCAAATTAGTAGTAAACACTGGGCTGTCCGTAGTGCAACAACTTCTTATGTTAGTTTTATGATGGATTCAGTGTGGCTTAAATGGGCACATTTTTGATTTGGGAGTTCCTTTCCAAGACCCCCATGGGTGACATATTCTTGGTAGGATCCAAGGTATTGAAGCAGTTATTATGCCTGAGTGGTCCAATGACTACAAGACTTCTCCACAAGCACAAGACGACCACATTTAACTTCCTTTTTAATCTACTCCCTTAGAGTCTGCTCCAAGCTGGTTCAGGGTGAGATCTACCATAGATAGCAACTGGAATAGAAAGAGAAGATAAGTTTTCTCACCCTCTCTCCTAGCCTCGGCTCTACAGGTCAGAACTGGGGAGGAGGAGACCCTGCTTACCTAAACACATTCCCCCAAAGTGGCACCTTTTCAACAATTTTGAAGGTAATGTATTGGCGTGATGGATGTTAGACTGATCATGAAAAGACTTTAAAAGAAGCATGAAAGAAACACGTAGAGAAGATAATCAAACGGGGAACATTTTAAACAAAGTACTCACTTCTTCCCCTTCAACTCCTTGAATTGAGTCTGAATTATTATATCATTCCTGCTGATCTGGGTCCAGAACATACCGTGTGGTCTGGCCTAAGGTTGTTTTCAAATTTTTTCACCACAATATTTTTATGAGAAGAGAACGGCAACCAGGTCTGGGTATTAGGAGGACTAGAAACTCGGCCCCAAGTGGCCACCGAAGGCCACTCTAAGGCCCATTTCCTCAAGATTGTTTTGTTATATAGGTAAAATTTTCCCGTACTTATGTCAAAAATCAATGAAGCCAGTTACTGGGCAAAGTGGTAGGGACGGATTTTAACCAATAATACTATTGCAATAGGAAAAAGAGTCCAGCGTGAACTGAACTCCATTTCAATTTGTAGAGATGACTGGGCTTAGTTTTTTAGAGAGAATGAGGGAACTGGGGTGGAGCTGATGGTGCTGAGTGGAACTAAGGAACTAATTTCAGCAGGGCTCCTTTTCCAGGTTTTAAAAACCTCAGCACAAACACGTGGCGGCGCTCTCTAAACCTCTGCCTCCGGGAAAGGAAGTCGCAGTCCGAAGAGAACTACAACTCCCAGCAGCCGTGGCGAGAGCAACACCTACCAACTTCCGAGGCGTCATTCCCCATCGACCTGCAGCGCCGGCTTTGCCCGAGCCTTCAGGAGGCGGCACAGAGCTCGTGCTCGCAGCTGCGACCGGAGTCATAGCGTAGCGGGCCGCTGGCACGTCAGTGAGGCGGAGGGCACAGGGCCCGAGACCTGACGAGCTGGAGGCCGCGGGCCGGAGCTTGGGGGGAGGAGCCGGTGGCGCGGGCAGCGCACTGACGTCACGTCCGCGGGGCGGGACCACGGGTGATCCCGCGCAAATTGAAAGGTCGGGCCCTTAGCAAGCGGCTGCAGCCAAGTTGCTGGTGTCCTGTACCGCCGATCTCGGTTGCTCTGGCCAAAGTGAGTGAGAGGCGTCGGGGGCGCGTTTCTGAACCCCCGGCTGGCTCCCCTCGAGCGCACTGGGAGACCCCTTCTTGGAAAGTGGGGGAGCGGGCAGTGCGGAGGCTAATGGGTGGGTTCCCGCTGGTTCCCACGGGGGCCGATCTGCGCGTCACCTCCGCCCCTCCTGTCGGGATTCAGGGTCTTCCAGGAAGGGGAGGAGAGGGTCTGGCTTGGTCGCTCCGAGTGCAATATGTGTCGTTTGGTTCCCAAGGAACGTGGGGCCAGGCTAGCGCTGCAATTCGGAGAATGGAGGGAGAGTCCGCGCTCATTAAAGAGCAGACGATTCCCTGCTGCAGCTGGCGCCAGGGTTGTGGGACTTCTCACAGGTTTCCGCAGAAGCTGGCAGCCCGGTTTTTACATGCACTCTCCCCACTTTTGAATGTTGACAAGTACATTTTTCCCTTAATGTTGTCCAGGAATGGGCTTACGGGCTACGCCTGCACGTCTCCGCGAGAAAGGAATAAAGTGGTGAAGTTGCTGCTGTTCCTGTTACTTTTGGTGCCACATGTGATCTCCTTGAAATATGTGCCGTATGGCACTCAGTCATTCTTACTATGCTAAAGAGGAAATACTTATTCGAGGATATATATTAATACCTAGAAGAAACTTATTTATGTGAGTTTCACGAACTGTGTGTTATGTCCGTTTTCCTCAGAGTGAAAGAAAACTTTTTTTAGACATTTTCTGCGAAGTAAGAGAGTAATCGCTTTCTCAAACTGTGGCCTGAGGACCACCTGCGTCCGAATTAAATTTAAAATTGAGTCCCTAGCCTCACTCCAGAACTAGTGAATCACAAGTCACTGGGAGTGGAGTTGAGAATCTGCCAACTTCTGAAATTTGAGAACTGCTGGACTACAGCATCAGAGGTCTGGTAAGGAGTGAACAGGGTAAGGCTGACTTCTGATCCTGTACTTTCTTTCTTGCCTTTTTTCCAAGCTGGATGTTTGATAGGAGAGGTTTGTATTATGAAATGCTAAGCAACTGCTCAGTGCCCACTGCCGACTTTTTATCATATAGACTGGGGGAAGTAGTTTCTTCAGAAAGGGCTGAGGCAGTTACAGAATTGCTGTATAGAAAGGGCTTAAGTGGCTGCAACTTGAATGGAAGGGGCGGGAAGTTAAAGCACTTGTCTTGAGGCTGTATTTACAAAGTAGGCAGTTTCACATTTCTTTGGGGGTAGCTTTGGAGAGTCTGATGGAATTGCCCCCTAGACACTACCACTACTTATGACCATAATGTTTATTGCTTGGAATAATGCATTCTGATGGCAGTGAATTTCAGTCCTAAAAAAGTACAGATTCATTTCTGTAATTCTGTTTGATTATTTCATTTGTTTTATTTTTTTTTAATTGAAATGCCTACCTTCCTACAAAGTGTTTTGAGTTTCTGCTATGTGAATTTGCATGTTGGCCCTTATAATGGCTTTTGCAGAGGCAGTGAGATGCCATAGCATGCACAGTTTTGTAGATTTTAACGATGCCTTTTTGAAGAGAGGAGAGACTTTTGAGCACCTTCTGTGTGCCTGGCACTGTGTTAAGAGTTTGGAGCACGTGTGATGATTCTAAATGTGAAAGCACTTTGGAAAGAATAACCATCAAGCAACTGTCAAGTGGCATTAGAGGCAGTGTTAGTGATTAATGTAAATTCTAGACTATGGGAATTGTTTGACAGGGAGGAGTCCAGTTAAAGTATTAAAGAGCAATGACTGTCAAATATCTAAACAATAACAGTTTCTATATCAAATTCTAAGTTTTTTTCTTTTGTTTTTTTCCGACTTTTTGATAAATATATTTTGCTTTAAATATCGCTGTTTTCCCTTTCTCCTTTTATATCATGTAGTTAATTTGGCACTATGGGGATACAAGGATTGCTACAATTTATCAAAGAAGCTTCTGAACCCATCCATGTGAGGAAGTATAAAGGGCAGGTAGTAGCTGTGGATACATATTGCTGGCTTCACAAAGGAGCTATTGCTTGTGCTGAAAAACTAGCCAAAGGTGAACCTACTGATAGGTAAGCTTGGACCTTATATATTCTTTGGTAATTAAGAATTAGACTTACAATGTTATTGTTCCAGAAACAAATTATTTTCACTCCATGCCAGAATTTATCAAGAAGTGAGAGTGTGTGTTTTATAATATTGCCGAATCAGGGATGACTTCCACCTGTGCTATTGGCCTGCTTTTCATTCGTTGTAATAAGCAGATGGACAAAGACCAAAGATTGTTTCATTTGTTCTTTATATAAGATAAACTTTTTAACAATGTTTTGAAAATCCATGATGATTTCAAACATCCATTTTTGGGTACAGAAAACACACTGCTAATCCCTGTTAGCAAAGAAAAAAAGTAAATGTCCTTTAAAATTTCATTATAATTGCATATTTGCTTTCTCCTAAATTTTGCTTGATAATCAGCAGGTCCCAATCACTGTTCTATGCCAGTGCAGGTTCATTGTCACTGATCTACAACAAATAAAGATAATATACTGAGTCATTAAGAAGAGCATATTTGATTTAAAAGGTTATCTTTTAAGATTATGTTTTTCTGTTTCTATTTTTGAACTAAAATATCCTTTATTGAATGATGGGTGTTATAAATGCAGCTGTTTTTGTTAATTGACTTGTCAGAGTAAAAAAAACTGAATACAACATGTGATCCTTGATTGGATCCTGGATTTGGGAAAATAGCAGTGGCGTGCTGGAGCCAGCTCGTATGAGCTCGCTGGACACCGTCTCTTCTCAACTTGGCTTTCATTGGCTCCATGTTGGTCGCTTATCACCATTGTGGAATATTCATGTCAGGAAATTCAGGCACCCCTTCCCCTAGAACTACTTGTTAGACATTTACCGGGATACTACTGGATATAAGAAACATTACTGGGGCAACTGGGCAAATTTTAACACAGACTGTATATTAGATAGTATTGTGTCACTGTTAAATTTCCTAGGTGTGATATGGTACTGTTGGAGGAATCAGGTGTTTATTGTACTATTCTTTCAACTTTTCAATAGATTTGAAATTTTTTTTCTAACTAAAAAATGGGGGCTAGGCGCGGTGGCTCACGCCTGTAATCCTAGCTCTCTGGGAGGCCGAGGCGGGCGGATTGTTTGAGCTCAGGAGTTCGAAACCAGCCTGAGCAAGAGCGAGACCCCGCCTTTACTAAAAATAGAAAGAAATTAATTGGACAACTAAAAATATATACAAAAAAAAAAAAAAAAAACTAGCCGGGCATGGTGGCGCATGCCTGTAGTCCCAGCTACTCGGGAGGCTGAGGCAGGAGGATCACTTGAGCCCAGGAGTTTGAGGTTGCTGTGAGCTAAGATGACGCCACGGCACTCTAGCCCGGGCGACACAGTGAGACTCTGTCTCAAAAAAAAAAAAAAGGTTTAAAAAAAATGGGGGAAGAAGACCAGATTTGGAACCAAAACTGACAGAATTAGAAGAGATGCCAAAGCTCTTTAATCTAAAGATAAGGAAACCAGGGCTTGGAGGGTCAAGTAATCTACCGGACATTACATGGCTCATAAGAATATCCAAGGTAGGATTTGAACCCAAGTCTAATAAATTAAAATTTCTATTTCCTGTGAAAACATTTACTTAAAAAACAAAAACCTCATTCAGAATTGTCTTATCTAGTTTAAAATAGAACAAAAGTTATTACCTCAAGAAAGACAAAGCATTTAAGTGTGTTTTTCTTTTTTTTTTCCCCCATAGGTATGTAGGATTTTGTATGAAATTTTTAAATATGTTACTATCTCACGGGATCAAGCCTATTCTCGTATTTGATGGCTGTACTTTACCTTCTAAAAAGGAAGTAGAAAAGTCCAGAAGAGAGTAAGTTAATTCTCTACTTAATCTCTTAACTTAATTGAACTAAGGTCAGATGTTATAGTCTGTAAGTTACCAATTTTTTAAAATTTTAAGCTGGGCATAATGGTGCATGCCTTTAGTCCAAGGTACACAGGAGTCTGAGGCAAGGGGGATCGCTTGAGCCTAGGATTCAAGGCTGTAATGTGCTGTGATCGCACCTGTAAATAGCCATTGCATTCCAGCCTGGGTGACACAGCGAGACCTTGTCTCTAAAAATAAATAAATAAAATTTTAATTTGTGAAGGCTTATTTTGTAGCCTAGTACATGAACAAATTTCCTTAAATGTTTTATGTGTACTAGATTATTTTCACTATTTTTAAAAGTGTCTTAGTTACTGCATTTTCTTTTGACATAAAGCATTGCTGTGGAAAAATCTAATGGTAATCTTGTGTGTGTGTGTGTGTGTGTGTGTGTGTGTGTGTATGTGTGTGCGCGCGCGCGCGCGTCATAAAGCACTTGTTATTTTTGCCTAGAAGCCCAAAGCATCTGGATTAATATTCTCAAGGACCTGGTGTGCACTTTCAAATGATTTAATTCTAGGAAAATTTCTTTAATTATGGTTTTATTATAGTTTCTTGAGTCAGCCTCTTAAATTTTCTTTATATTTAAAAAATGTTCTTACAGAAGACGACAAGCCAATCTTCTTAAGGGAAAGCAGCTTCTTCGTGAGGGGAGAGTCTCAGAAGCCCGAGAATGTTTTGCCCGCTCTATCAATATCACACATGCGATGGCCCACAAAGTAATTAAAGTAAGTTGAATAAAAAAAGGAAGCCAAAGGAACAAATAGCTTAGTTTTCTAAGTTGTTTATTAATAGGAGAGTAAGAAAATCAGAGGAGGATAATTGTTCTAGACCTAACCTCGAGTAAAGGGCAGGTGTCCAAGGAAGAATGATTAGATCATTAGATAGTGGAGTCCAGCAATTTCCAATGGAGAAATCCTAAGGAATAAATGAGGCTCTTCCTTTTGAGAAGAGTGACTTGAATGGATAAACGCTGTCGGCATGTTCCATAGAGATGAAAGGGACAAACTCCTGGAGGTTTCAGTCTCACCCCACTCTCACGTGGTCTTCAGCACTTACTGTAACCTTCACTCTCGAATCATGGTCAGAGATCTGCCGAAACATCTTCGTGACCTCAGGAACCCTGCTGACTTCTGTTCTTCATCTGCTGCTGCATAGAAGTTTCTTTCTTTATCACTGTAAATCTTAGTGTCAACATGCCCATAGTCCCAGCCCTCACTTTCCACTTTTTATATTCCACCTACTTCATAAAGCCATGATGATAAAGGTGGAATCAGCTTTTATTTTTAGCTTATAGTTCTGCCATTTGGTTCCTGAGTTAAGATAAGCACTAAAATTCTTATTTGGCCTCCTTTTCATGTGGCTGTTTCTTTGCTCTTTCTGTACGAGTCAAGGTTGAAGGAAAGGATGGGGTGCAGCAGAAGGTGTGAAGTATGAGGGGAAATGTGCTCTGTTTAGCCGCAGGAAGAGAGGCTGCACTGTGCGTGGAAGTGGAGAAGAAACCCCAGTTGTTGTACACAAATAGTGGTGTAAAAGGGTGAGAGTAGGACACTTGCTGGGCAAACAGAAACCAAGAAAAATAGCAGATTGCAAGCTGTCACCAGTATTGATAGTAGCAGGATCTCGATACCTCTTTCCCCATGTTTTGCTTCCCAAAGCCTCTCCTCGGGCCTTGGGAACTATTCCCCATGATTTGGGACAAGAAAGTTCCTGTTCCAACTGCCTGGATTTTGAGACAGAGGCTATGATAGGGACTGTTTTTCCCGGCAAGGTTATTTTAAAAGTATTTGCCCACGGTGCATTGGTTTAAACATAGTGATTAGGGTCTATAATCTTGTGGATACAGTGTCAGATAGACTGACAGGACAAACTGTTATTTTTATGGGAACTATATTCAAAGCTCCAAACAAATATCTTGTATACTTTTGGAACGTAATCTTAAGATGGAAGATGGAAGATGGAAGCTTTCTATAATTTGAAATAATTCATTTTGTAGCTCATAGAGTTTTTTTTTTTCTTTCTAAATGTGTAGCAATGTTTCTTTTCTCCAAATTTATAAATTATTTTTTAACTTAATGGCTTCATGATTGGTTCAACATGTACTAGAACTAAAGGTAGAAAAACTCTACTTCGAAGGAAATGATTTTTTGAAAAACACATTAGCATGTGTTGTTGAGGTTAGTAATGAAGTGGTTTTGAAACAGGAAGTTGTTTGGTGCTTTCCAGATGCCATGCTGGAGACTCACTGTGATCCTCTCTGACAGGCTGCTCGGTCTCAGGGAGTAGATTGCCTCGTGGCTCCATATGAAGCTGATGCGCAGTTGGCCTATCTCAACAAAGCTGGTATTGTCCAAGCTATAATTACAGAGGACTCTGATCTCCTAGCTTTTGGCTGTAAAAAGGTACTTAACTGTAACAACTACATATTAATTTTCTATGTAGATAGAAGTAGTATACATAAATCAAGGAGCAGAAGTTTTTCCTCTCCAGGAATAATTATTTATTTTAGTGAGTATCTATAATTACCATCTATTTTTATAATGTTAATTATTTTATTTAAAAATGAAAAGAAGGGTTTTGCTGCTTAACTTTTGTGTAATTTGGACATTTTTTTCAGAGTAAGCCCCTAAGGTCAGAGGGTTTTTGTGACTCACACCAGTAATCCCAGTACTATGGGAGGCTGACATTGGAGGATTGCTTGAGGTTAGGAGTGCAAGATCAGCTTGGGCAACATAGCAAAACCTTGTCTCTACAAAAACTAAAAAGTTAGCCAGGTTTGGTAGCAGGAGCCTGTAGTCCTAGCTACTCAGGAGGCTGAGTGAGCTATGATCATGTCACTGTACTCCAGCCCGAGTGACAAAGTGAGACCCTATCTCTAAAAAAATTAAAAATAATAATGATAACATATGCTGTATATTTTTTAATTAAGTTAGGTGAATCAATTTAATCTGCTAATGGGAAGTTGTGCGGTTATTTAGAATTATGTATGAAACTGTTTAATGGAAAACTTTGTCATGAGATATTAAGGGGAAAAATTAAGATACAAAACTATAAGATGATCTCATTTTTGTTAATGCCTATATTATTTATTTTCATAGATGACTAAAAGGATCTATATCAAAAGATTAATACTGGGTAATAGTGATAAATGATGGAATATGGGCAACTTCTGTTTTCTTCCTGAATTTCTATGTTTTCCAGATTTTCTATTAATGCAATAAACATGTATTATTATTAATAATAACAAAAGGGTTACTTTAAAAAGAAAAAGTGACAGAAGGGGAAAATGTTTTTTGTATGCATTACTATTTGATCATCATGGCAACCCTGTGAAGTAAACAGGAAGTAAAGAGGTGCAGAAAGGGCTTTCTTTATATCAGACTCGGAACAATCAAGTCCTGGCTGTATCGCCTTGTCCTAGTCATATTCTGTGCTTCAGTTTAATTTATTTTCAAATTCATAATCATTAACATGCCAGGCCATAACTCCTATCTTTCAGTGTTAACAGTGAACGAAGAACAAGAAATATTTCTTAGAATTATTGTCACGGATTAATGACAAATAAAAGTGGCCCTTCCAGGTGTTAACAATTTCTCTTCCTTTTGAAGGTGATTTTAAAAATGGACCAGTTTGGAAATGGACTAGAAATTGATCAGGCTCGACTAGGAATGTGCAAACAGCTTGGGGATGTGTTCACGGAAGAGAAGTTCCGTTACATGTGCATTCTTTCAGGCTGTGACTATCTCCCATCACTGCGTGGAATTGGATTAGCAAAGGCATGCAAAGTACTGAGACTAGCCAATAATCCAGATATTATAAAGGTAAGGGCGATCTTTAATAATAGAATGAACCACTCAGAATATGGATTTTAAATATTCTGTTATGTCAATAGCCTATATTATGTCATTAAAAGGAGAAAATGATTAAAACACCAGAACTTTGCTCCTAGCAACTAACAAACATTAGAAGAACCATGTTTTCAGCAATTGATGAAAAAGTAGTAGTGATTTCTAAAATGAAGATGAATATAAAGAGACATAAGGGCAAAATATTCTGGGATAGAATTAATGTTAAACTCGGTCTTTTGATTGGTTATCAAACTTTTTGGTCTCAGGATTTACCTTTATACTCCTAAAAGCTCTTTGTGGTAATGTTTTTTGTTTATGTGGGTTATAACTATTGATATTTACCAAATTAAATGTTAAGATGAAAATTTAAATGATTATCAAGTCACTTAAATATTACAATAAATTCATTACATATTAACATAAATAGCATGTTTTTATGAAAAATAACTATTTTTCAAAACAAAAATTTTGAGAGAGAGGAATTATACATTTATGCAAATCTCTTTAATATGGCTTAATGGAAGACAGCTGGAATCTCATACAGGTTGAGCATCCCTAATCTAAAAATCTGAAATGCTCCAAAATCTGAAACTTTTTGAGCACCAGCATGATAAGTGGAAAATGTCACACCTGATCTCATGTGAGGGATGTACAAAATTATTAAAAATATTGTATAAAATTATTTTCAGACTACGTGTGTAAGATGTACATGAAACATAAATGAATTTTGTGTTTAGACTCGGGTCCCATCCCCGAGATATTTTATTATGCATATGCAAATATTTCAAAATTCAAAAAAAATCGAAAATCTGAAATACTTCTGGTCCCAAGCATTTTGGTGAAAGTATACTCAATCTGTATCTACTTCCTCATTCAGTCTCGTTTGATATCTTATGTCATATATCCTCTGGAAAATTCTGACACTCCATGTATCACTACTGTGTAGTTTTTCTTAAAAAATAAACATACATTAAAGAAGCTCATTTTCCCCCTGGGTAGGTCTCTAAGGCCCTCATAGTTTGCGGAGCAGAAATTCCATTTTCTGTTTCTAAAAGTAGAAAGCATAAGTCCTCAGGGCTAAGGGTGATGTAATGTAATGGAAAGATCTCTAGGTTGGGAGATAGTATCCCAGCTGGGAATAGCGCCACATGCCCTCACTAGCCTGTGACTCCAGAACCACTTTAGTTCTCTGGGTCTTCCCTTCATGCATGAATTTGATATATAATATTTAAGATCCCTTCTAGCTTGAAGTATCTGTGGCTCATAGGTGTCGGAATGTCAACTTAGTTTAAAACTATGATCTAAGAATATTTGGGTTTTTTTAATTCTCAGGTTTTGTATGTTTATTTTTTGCTTTCTGGATGAAAGGGACTTTGAGAATGAAGAATGTGTGTTAAAGTTACACCTAGGAACATAAACTTGATGTATAACTGAATTTTTGGTCCTTTGGACTAATAGTAGAAAAACCAAAGAAAATACTAGTTATGAGACTTAAAATTTTAAGTGATATGACATGATTGTGTTTGCTGGCAGAGTTTTTTAATGTAAATGAAAGCAATTGATTTTTCAGTCCCTCCTCATGCTCCTCTAATATGAACTGGTCAGTCTTGAGGATAACATGTTCCCTATTCTTTAGTTACAGATAAAATATTTTTGTATCCATTGTTAGATTATCAAGAAAATTGGACATTATCTCAAGATGAATATAACAGTACCAGAAGATTACATCCAAGGATTTATTCGAGCCAACAATACCTTCCTTTATCAGCTAGTTTTTGATCCCATCACAAGGAAACTAATCCCTCTGAATGCCTATGAAGATGACATTGATCCTGAAACACTAAGCTATGCTGGGCGGTATCCTTTCTGAACCAGAATGGTAGACTTTTGTGCTGCTTCTGTATTTTAATGGTGATATTTTTCATGAGACATTCAGTAAAAAGCTTGCAGATTGTTTTTTGCTTTCTTTTTTATAGTGAAATCTGTATTTTGTTCATTTCAATCACCATGTCAGTGAAAATGTAGAATAGCTTTTTGTTTATAAATCTGAGGCTCATCTTCTATAGCATGCTAATTACTTAGATTGACTGAGAGGAGCATGCACAGGGTCTGTCACTTAGGGTACACATTTCCAAGGTAGCATTTCAGAGAACCCCAAGCTCGTGGCCAGCAAGCTCAGTTTATCAGGAAGAGCATTCTGGGTATATGAATGTACCGGGAGAGGTTGCCCTACCTGTAGCCACTGGCCTTGTGCACTCAGGCAGATGCAGAGCCCTGAGTCACTTAGATGGTGGCTGGGACTTTCTCCTCCACCTCCCTTGCAAGAGAGGGAATTAGCGATGACTTGGGGCTTTGCTTCACAAGATGCTCAACTCCTGCAGGGACAAATAGACACTAGCAAACTATGCCTGTGGTTTCAGTAATGCCGATGTGGAAAGTAAATAGGATCCATTTAAGTCATAAACCTGAAGATTTTCTGTGACAATAGAAAACACTTTTCTATCTTAGTACAGAATCATTTGATTAGGTGTTAATAAAGGCATTTTTCCTTAATCTTACCAACCTAGGTATGTTGATGATTCTATAGCTCTTCAAATAGCACTTGGAAATAAAGATATAAATACTTTTGAACAGATCGATGACTACAATCCAGACATTGCTAAGGTAACATTTTAATGAATGCTGTGTAAAATCACACATTAGTTATGTCTCAGGAACTGCGATTAAAGGCAAATCTTGATTTACCAAACATCTTTTAAGTATTTCTATATCCAGGCACTATGCAGAGTGTACATTGAAAACAACTTGATCCTAGAGAAATTACATCTCTTAGAACATAGGTATACTGGTTAATTTTTTTAAATTGATAAGTAACCACCTTATGTATTATCTAACTTTTATACTTAAACATTTCATTTGAATACACTAAGCATGTGATGCTTTTTTTTTCTCATCTCACCCCATTCAGCCTCTTGGCATTTGGCATTTGTTGAAGGAATACTACCCTTGGGAGTAAAAGCTGTTTTTTACTCATTCATAATTTAGCAAATATTTAGTGTGCACCCCTGCTATTTGTCTTTGACCCTTGGCTATTATCTTTTACTTTTTTCCCGATTGTATATATCCCTTAAGATACTGTCTCCTGCCATTCTCTTCTTTCTCTTCATATTTCTTTTCATCCTCTGTTCTCTTTTTATATTTCTTCCTTAGATAAATCCTTAGGACTTTAATTATACCATTTATGCAGAGAACTCACATATCTCCATCTTTACCCCAATCTCTCACCTGTGCACCCTAACCACAGAATTTTCAATATCTAATGTATCTCTGCATAAATGATTTCCTGTGGCCTCAAATCTATCCATAGTCAAAACCAAACTCTTCATTGTTTATCGGCTTTCCTTAATAACATTTCTTTTATCTTTCTTTTTTAGCACTTATTACTACGTTACATTATGCTTCTATTATTTTCTGATTCTTCCTAATAGAATGTAGTCTTCATAAAGGCAGGACTTTGTGATCATCACTGTTATATTTACCATGTTTCTCTGTTGAATGAGCGAATGTCAATTACATGAGCTCTTTCATTCTCTCAGACTAGAAAACTTGGAAATAATTTTTGGCTTCCCTTTCATTTCTAAGGCTTCTTTCCTCTTTTAGTTGTCCTTCTGGTTGATATTTTCTTTTTCTCAGAGCTTCCAGTCTAATCAAGGTCTTTTTACCCTTGCTCACTAATTCAGTCCTTTGCTAAGCATGTATTCGGCACTATAACTGACGTAGGTTAGCTGGGGTTCTGGAATATGAAGAAAAATAAAATATAGTCCTTGCCTATAAGGTTCTCATTGGCTTCTCTCTCAGTATACAGAGAGAAACGTTTTAAGTACTAGAGATGTATTTATTCTAGGCTCTGGGGAAACAAAAGGCTTGTACGTAACTCCGCCTAAGAAAGGAATGCTTTCTTAGTAATGACAAATATTTTTTGAGCAGTTACTATATTCCAAGTACTATTCTTATTTACCGTAATAACCCATTTACTCTTCAGCAACCTGCTGATGTCAGTACAATTATTCTCATTTTACAGATGAGAAAACAATTAGAGGAAGGTTAGGTAACTTGCTCAGGTCACACATTTCATAAACAGAGGAGCTCTAATTCCAAGCCATGTTTTACTGTCTGCTTAAAAAAAAACTGATTTGCAAGGATGAGCAGGGTTTTTCAAGATGAGTAAGTGAGTCCAGGCTGAAGAAAATAGCATATGTAGAAGAGGGTAACATGTTAAGAGGACTCTTAAGTTATTTGTTATGGCTGGACTAAGAATGTCTCAGTGGTTACTATGTGAAGGAATGAGATCTCCTTGAGAAGAAAAAGAAGTGAGCCTGGAGAAGATGACCTCTGACAGACTGGTGACTAATTGAGCACTGGAAATTAATCTTTACTGTCAGCTGAAATAAGCCAAGCCTACTAAGAGCACAAATGCATATCGACACTAAAAATGAACTTTATGTTCATCAACTCGAATTATGTAAACATTACACGCAGTTTGCTATTTCTTTATTTTCTCTCCTGACCTCCACTATCTAATATGATAGCCACATGTGGCTATTTCAGTTAGTTAAAATTAAACAAAATTGCTGTTTTAGTTCTTCAGTTGTATTAGCTACCTTTCAAGTGCTTAGTGGTTAGTGGCTACCATATTGCACAGCACAGAACATTTCTATCATTATAGAAAATTCTATTAAATTTTTAATTTTTATCATTTTTATATCTAAGGACCCTTTCATTTTACTTTTTTTGAAGATTTTGTTTCATGGATGTCATCTCTTATCTCTCTGAGAATATTAATTATAATTTCTTGGGTATTCTCTCTGCATATCTGTTTGCTTTGAATTTTTTTTTTTTTTTCCTGTTTTGGTCTTTTCTCTCTCATGGTGGAGACTTTCTTCTGTCCATTTGTCCATAATGAAGGGATACTGAAAAGTTCACCGAAAGCTTTGTGTGAATGAGAAGAGCTTATCTTGGACTTCATTCTTGAGTGATCTAGTTGGTAAGAAGCTGGCTTTGCTTTATAAATTCTCCGATGTCCAGATTGTTTCTCTGTAGTTATATTTTTCCAACAAGGGATTGTCTGATTTCTGCTTAGGATATTAAACTTGACTGTCTGCATTTTGAGAACAGGATAGGGGAAATGAGTTGGGGTAGGCCAGGAAGGGGTATCATGGCTTCTCACCATTTAATATTAGCCTTTCATTTTAATCAGTGTTCACAGACAAATGATCTCTCCACCTTCTGAAATGCCTGCTGTTTCTATGTTACTGTTTCTGGATTTCAAAAGTTTAGTTGCTCTTGTTCTGAAGGTGGGTGGGTGTTAGTTGGCTGTATGGTCAGGTTGGAGATGGAGACACAGGGCCAAATAACCCCCCTCTTTTCAGCCCTCCCCCTACCACTGGCCTCCATGGTATCTGGTGCCTTAAATTCCTGAGCCTTTCTCTAGTTTCTATGGGTGGAATTGGCTTCCCTTTGGTATTTTCTTCTGTAGGCACTTAATCTGATTTCTTTTCTACTAAGTCTTTTAAATTCTTCCATCTGTACTCTATCTTCACTATGGTTTTGGAAGTTACAGATATCTCCTAATTTTATTGCAGATGGAGTTTGTTTCTTGTTCTTATTTTGGTGAGTGATTATGGAAAGAAGGGGACCAAAAAATATTTGCTCTGCTATCTTTACACATTTGATTTATTGATACTATTATAATTTCATTCCATTTTCAAAGGAAAATTCTTAAGCTTTTCCTTTATCTCAGAAAATAAAAAATAAAAATAGTTGGTTGTATTGAATATGTCCAGTTATGAATGAGAAGGTTATGGATTGCTAAGGTGGCCATCCTTCACAAGCCCAGATCTCTGTTAGATCTTTCCCTTTTTCATAGAGAAATTTCTGTAGGAACCATAATTGTATACCAAACTAATTAATTCTAACATTTATTCTTCCCAGCTGGTTTTCTATTTGCCTGTTTGTTTTTTCAATTAAACCATCAATGAGATCTAATGCCATGAGCCATATTGCTAAAACTGTTTTTTTAATACTAATTCTTTCAAATTACCTTCCTTGTTAATTCTCAAAAGGGTATTCTTAATTTTTGCCTTTTAAATGAAAGACTTAGATTAGATTCTGAGTTTATGTGGGATTTTTGTCAGGTGAGATTCACACCCCAACTAATGACATATTTTGTATCTTTGTTCATTTTTTTCCCTTTGGCTGTCCTTCTCTGTTAGAATGTCATTGACATCCTCTTAACAGATCGTCTTCCAAAATATGTTGTGATTGTGAATAACTTACATTAACATTAAAAGTGATTATTTTCCAATACTAACTGACATTAAGCCCTTTCTCAGAGCAAGTTTTTTGCAAGACTCATTGTAGACCGAAGTAGCTTTCTATTTCTCTGTTGTCCACTAATGATGGTACCAGGTATCAGTCATAATAGAAACCAGTATTTTGTAACTTAAGATTGTTTTGCTTTGAACTCAACCAATTTCTGGACATAGGATAGTTGATTACTTTAAATACGTAATTTTATGGTTGTGGCTCAGGTGCATTTTAAAGTATTTATAAATGATTATTTAGAGGCATACTGATGGATAATTAAGCTAATTAATATTGTGTATGGGAAAAATACTCAAATTTTAAAGGCACTCTATTCCTAGCCACCTGTCATCAATTGCAGTCTCATTTCTTGCGCTGTTTATCTTAGGAAGGTTTATTTTTTATTTCTTAGAAATAAGCTGACAAGGTCACTTGACTCTCATTAGAAGAGAAACAGGCCTAAGAATGAATGTAAGACACATTTAATGAAAAGTATAGGACTGACCAGCAAAGTAAAAAATGTTATTAGAGGACAGATATTTCATCAAACACTTTTCTTTTTAAAGTAACTTAATATGTTTGTTTATAATTTATGTTGATACACAGGGAAATGGATTGATTATTTTCCTATTTAAAGTAACCTTTTTTTTTTTTCCTTTTTTAGCCTGTCCAATTAAGAAGTCATAGTTGGAATGACAAAACATGTCATAAGTCATCTAATGTTAATAGCATTTGGCATAGGAATTATTGTCCTAGACTAGAGTTGGATATTGTTTCAGACGCTACACAATTGAAGGAAAATTCAAATACTGTGGGAATTGAACAAGTGATTAGTACTAAAGGGTTAAATCTTCCAAGGAAACCATCCATTGTGAAAAGACCAAGAAGTGGTATGTATTTCATTTTTGCAAAATGCTAGTTAGTATTGGTGATATTTAAGAAATCTTTGCCAAACCCAAGGTCACTAAGATTTTCTCCTGTTTTCTTCTAGAAGTTTTGTAGTGTTAGCTCTTACATTTAGGCCTATGGTCCATTTTGAGTTAATTTTTTTGTATAATGTGAGGTATGGATCAAGGTTCCTTACCTTGCATGTGGCAATTCAATTGTTCAGTACCGTTTGCTAAAAAGTTTTCCTTTCCCCATTTAGTTGCCTTGGGACATGTGTTGAAAATCAATTGACCACGTGAGTCTTTTTCTGAACTCTGTTATTCTGTACCATTCCTCTCTTCATCAGTCTTTACATCAGGCACATTCTTGATTACTGCACCTTTATAGTAAATCTTGAACTCAGGTAGTATAAATCCCCTAAGTTTGTTTTCTTTTGAAAAGCTCTTTTGGATATTCTGTGTTCTTCATGTTTCTACATAAGATAACATATGAAAGTACCTGGTATATAACAAGTACAAGCCAAAGAATTAACTTGTTAATTTCTAAAAAAAAAATGCTGTTGTGATTTAGTTGAATCTATAGATAGGTTTGGTAAAAGTTGACTTCTTCTTATATTGAATTTTCTGATTATTTAAGTCTTCAATGCTTTGTAGTTTTCAATATATAGGTCTTACACATCTATTGTCAAATTTATCCTTGTATCAGATTTTTGATGCTTCTGTAAATGGTATTTATTTTGATTTTCAGTTCATTGCTAGCATACAGAAATACAATTGATTTTTGTATATTAACCTTCTATTTTACAACCTTGCTAAAGTCACTTATTAGTTCTAGTATCTCTTTTGTAGGCGCTGCAGGATTTTCTATATAGACAATTACGTCACCTACAGATAATGACAGTGTTGCTGCTTCTTTTCCAGTTTAGATGCCTTTCATTTCTTTTTCTTGCCTGCTAGAACCTCCAGTACAATGTTGAATAGAAGTGCTGAAAGTGGAATAGTAGGTATTGAGACAAAGGTTGGGGACTTTTTTTTACCATAGAAGGCATTTAGAAGTGGGAAGAATGACTGCAATTTCTTCCTCCTCCCTTCCTTCCTTCATACATCTACAGCAGCGAATGAAATATCAACAACAGAAATAAAACAAAGACCTTTGCAAAATTTTAGTTCATGCTTTTATTTTTTAAGTTTAGGTATAGATTATATGTGTTTGGCCAAAATATCCTGATTCCTTATTAACCTAAATCTTTTTCATGATAATATCTCTGAACTTTTGTTTCTTCATATGAAATGGGAACGATATTGCCTATTTCACAAGTTTTTTTATATGTTACATAAGATAATATATAAAAGTACCTGGTATATAACAAGTACAATGTATGCATTAGTTCCTTTTCTTCTGCTGCCATCAAAATACACTGTTCATTTTGTGTAGAGAGCTCATAATCAGTAAGTTCTTTATGTCAGATTAAGTCTACTTTTTTATAGCTACCACTTATCAATCAATTTTGTCCCTGGGCACACAAGAACAAAAACAAAAGAAAAAAAGCTAGATTAAATTTAATCCCTATTTTATATAACACCCCTTCAGATGTTTAGAGACAGTCATTGTGACTCTCCTAAATTTCTCTTCCAGGCCATAGTTCCTTATCTGTTTAGGTTGGGCTTTGGATACAATACAGTTTTTTAATAACTGTGTAATTGTTCCAGTGAGTATGATTGTTGAAATATGGTCTATTTACCACAGACTAGAGTAAATATTTAGAACTGTGGCACTATTTCAGTCCTTCATCCAGAGACTGTGCTTTTGTTTTTACAAACTGAGATTGCATTAGCTTTTATTAGCATTCTTGTCATTTTGCTGGCATTTGCTGAGTTTATAACTGAAATCTGCCAAGTTTATAATCGAAATTTGTCAGTTGCTATTCAGTCAGGTACAGTTTATATTTTAAATTTAAATGTGGGTTAATTTATCCCTGTTGTGGTAATCTTAATTCATTTTAGTTCGTTGTTCTGCTTGTTAATATTTCTTTTCTGTTTTGAATCTTTCTAATGTCTTCTAACAAATGGGCATTATCTATGTCTTCTGGAAATTAGATAAGTATGGCTTCCTATTTCTTAAAGTTTTGGTTAAAATGTTTTTGCTTATATAATATTTATGTGAATCAGAGCAAGTACAGAAATCTAGAGCACATGAGACAGACTTCCTTTCAGATTAACACTCACCAATGTCCTTTAAGGGCTATACAACTTGCTACAAATCCACATAACTAATATATAATAGATACTGTTCTACATGGTCCACTAGGATAATATAAGAGACCCTGAAGCATCTTATTGAATTCAAGATAGGCTCAATATGCGAATTCCCCTGAATGGCCATGCTAACAGCCTTATCATAAAAAGAAAAAGAGGTTAATCTGGTGTGGCTTCTTGGAGAAGGCTTGCTGGGGATCCTAGGATACCTTTTTTGTTCTTCTGTAAGGGTTCACAATTTTGCACATAATAAAACAGAGGTAGTTTTTGCCAGGAATCAAAATCTAATTCATTGATAGAGCTTTTTAAAAATCTGTGCCTTTTCAAAATGGTGACATCATCTTGTCTCTAATATTTTGATACTCCCAACCTATCTCACCAACTTCTTAAAGATTTACAATAGTGTGCACTTATGTCTCTGTAGATCTTACCAACTTAAAGATTACAATTGCATATATTTATGCCTCCATGGAGTAGAAGCTATTCAGACTCAGAATTAGTGGAACTAATTTAAATCACCTTAGTGTTCCTGCCTATTTCAAGCTTTAACCTTTTTATTATTAATATTTAGTCTTCTAGTTTATTGTAATGCCATTGAATACATTTGACACACAGCAATCTTCTTGGGTATAATAGTGAAGTAATGATCAGAGCTAGAGCACAAATACTTTTGACTACATGACAGTTATGTATCAAAAACCATAACACATAGCGTGTATAAATAGCTGCTCATTTTACTGGAACATTTTAAAAATCAATCATTAATCATACATTTACATATAAATTTCCCTAAAATTTTTTTATGTTTGAAATTAGGCCCTTATTTTAATGAATATTTGCAGAATGATTAGGCCCTGAAATTTTGATTTGGGTAATTTCACATAAAATTCCATAAATAATTGATATGAAATCTTAAATAATTTGTGAAGTTATAAAACTTAGCTAAGGGAATTTTTTTTTTTTTTTTTTTTGAGTCTTATGACTTTTTCTTTTGTTATATAGAGGTACTCTGCATGGACATGAGAGGTGCTTCATTTGGGAAGTTATAAAACTTAGCTTTAAGGGATTTTTTTTTTTTTTTTTTGAGTCATCCCTGTGTTTCCTTTTATGAGGCATAGTTTAAAAAAGTAAGACTTTACCTTTAGGACAGTATGATATAGAGTATGAGGTTAAGGCCAAATCTAACTACAAAAGAAACAAAGATTTATAGATAATTTTGTTTTTATTTAGAAGAGCTGTCAGAAGATTATCTGTTGAGTCAGTATTCTTCTTCATGTACAAAGAAGTCCAAGAAGAATAGCTGTGAAGGTAATAAATCATTAAACTTTACTGAAATGTTCGTGCCTGACCTGGTAGAAGGAACTACCAACAGAAAAAGCTTAAGCACTCCACCGAGGACAAGAAATAAATTTGCAGCATTTCTGCAGAGAAAAAATGAAGAAAGTGGTGCAGTTGTGGTTCCAGGGACCAGAAGCAGGTATAGTTATATCTGTAGAATGTTGTCTGTTGTATTATGTACTGTTTTGGTATTTATTTTATCTTAAATAAACATTGAATGTAGAGGGAGATAGGTGTAGGACTTTTAATCTGATTACAGTTCTATCATGTATTGCCTTAGTTCTGACCTAAATGCATCACTGTTTCTTTAACTTCTGTTACTTTTGTAATCTCTGCATACAGAAGGAAAATAAAACAGGGTTGTAGCCCCTGCTCTTACATTTTGCATTATAGAAATTCTGTTATTTTGGGAGTTTCTTTCCTCTGCCTTTTTTGTTTCTACTCTTTAGTTTCTCTGAGGGCTTATACAATTTTGCAAAGTATTTTCATAAATATATTCAAATATAGTTGACTATAGAGCTATAATGTTAATTGAGAACTTCAAAGCATGCTAGGTGCTGTGGTTACAAAAAAGGGAAAGACCTAGTTTTATTTTTGAGAAGCTTGTATTCCAGCTTGTGGTTGGAAAAATAAGTATATAAACAAAGTCCTTCCGTACAGTGTGGTAAGTACAGTGATAAAGGCATGTGTATGGTGTTTTGAGGCATTCAAGGGGCATCTAACACTGGGGCAATGGTTGGAAAGGGTGAGAGGGAAGGGACAAGTGTTGGGTGTCCCTCCCTAGTCTAAAATGACTAGTGGAGTGAAGCAGACAGAGACTGGGACCAAGTACCTTCCCAGTAGAGGCAAACAGCTTGAGCAAAGGCATGGAGGTGGGGAATAGCTTTGGCAGGGGGCAGCTACTCACTGTTGATCACTGCCGTTCTCAACTACTGCCAGAATGAAAGTTAGGGAAGGGTCACTGGTGAGGGAGCAGAAGGAGGCAGGAGGCTAGTTCATTGAAGGCTTGTCTACCAAGAGAAAACCTGTAGCCTTTAGGAAACTTTAGAGAATTTTAATTAGAGAAAGGGTATGATTTGATTCCTGTTTTAGATAGACCACACTGAGTGCCCCATGAAGAATGAATTTGAAAGGACCACTAGTAGAGCACAAAGATCAGTTAGGCTGTCTCCATAGTCCCTGCCAGCGATAATGAGATTTTGAAGTCAGTATAACTTGGGGCGTTTTGACCCTGGAGTCAGGCTGTCTAGATGCGAATCTTGTCCTGTTCACTCCTGAGATGTTCAACTTGGACACGTTAACTTCTGGGTGCTTCAGTTTTCTCTTTTTGTTTTGTTTTGTTTTGTTTTGTTTTTGAGACAGAGTCTCACTTTGTTGCCCTGGCTAGAGTGAGTG